TTCTTCCCTTGTGGCTCAAGCACACTCAACAGAGCCAGGAGCTCGCCATGCTGCAACCGGCAAAACAACCACACCTCTGCAACGGACCCCGTCTTAAGCAGCACCAGGTCACCCCTCTCGCAAGTCTGTCCTGGGCAGACCTCGGCCTGCATGGCCGACTGCACATGCTCAAGAGTCTGAAACCCGAATGTCTGCCCCAGGTGCCACAGCAAAGTGCCATCAGTGACAGACTTGGGGGACTTCAAATGGGGCCGCATGAAGCCAGCATGCTCAGACAGATCCAGAAGAGCCCTGCCCAAAACATCTTTAAAGAGTGAAGCTTCGAACCAGTCGGTCACTTTCTTCGTGTTGTCAGCAAACTGCTTCACTTGCCGATGCTTTCGTTCGTGTGTAAAACAGGAAATCAGAGGCCTGTCTCGAGCCATCAGGGGAAGATGGAGGCTGTAGTGGAACTTCGGTATACAGTGCTGCTCTCCATATGCTTTAAGGAAAGCTTGGCTATGGGCCCGAATCGCATTCTCGAGCTCGTCCGGCGACAGGTTCCCAGTCCGATTGCATTCAAGCAGGAGGTCGAGAACCATACAAATCTTCATAAAGGATCTGATGCATCGCCGAAGTTCGTCGTCCATTGTGTCAAAGTGATGAGTCAGCAAGAAAAGCCGCAGCAAGGGATAGACAGTGATGCACTGCGAAGCCCCGGCCTTGAACTCAGAAGGTTTGCTCCTTTTGTCGAACAAATGCAAGATTTCTCTTCTCCGGTTCTTCAGGTTGTGAGGCCATTCGTACTCTGAGATAAAGCTCTGGATCACCTGAAATGTTGCACCCTGCACATGCAAGAGTGGCAAGAGTAAGCTCAATTCCACGTGCAGGAGGCCGCTTACCACATAACAATGCATCCAATCCCACATCAAGCATTTCACAAGCGGCATGCTTTTGTGAGCAAGCACTCCAGATGGGTTAAAGTTCAACCCCATGCTGGACTCCAGCAAGGCAAAATCCTTTTTGCTCAGCATGGGTTGCCTTCTCGCCAGCAGTGCCTGTGCAGTGAAGATCTGATTGTCGGTTCTGCGGACAAACAGATTGCTGTCGATGCATGATATGTCATGCAATTCTCGGTTCTGCGGACAAACAGATTGCTGTCGATGCATGATATGTCATGCAATTCTCCCGAGTGGTCATTTGCTGGCAGATCACCGTGGGTCTTGCTTGTTATGTTGGCACATAGCGGGCAAACCAAAGTCCCACTGGAGCCCTTGAAGTCGTACATAGACTTCAAAGCTGCCTCGTCTGCAACTACAGTATGCAGTTTCGCGAAGAACATGACCCGTTCCCCGGTTGGCATGTTCAGCAAACAGCCCGACTGGAGGTTCAGGAACGATTCCGAGGAGACCAGAATGTGGGTGAGTGCAGACAGCCCGCCCTGGATCTTGTTGACCACCGAAGACCGAGTCAAGTTCAAAGGGAACCAAAGGTTTTCTTGGCATCGGCCTTCGGCGTCAAACTCGAGAAAACTGAGGTAGTACCCTTGGATCTTCCTGGTGTTGCTGGCTTTTAGCTGGTTGCCAGGACTAATCTCATCATTGTATAAAGCCATGCGCCATGGGCTGGTTGCTGTGCACGGGTACTTCGATAGCTGCCTTTGGAAAAAGGCAGCTACACCAGGCATGGACTGGCAAACATGCCATATCCATGCCATCAGGTTGAGGATCGGCAGCTCTGTCGGCACGATCTTCACCTCCTCGTCTCCAGCTGCCTTTCGGCTCTTCACCTCCCCAGGTACTGTAATCTTGGCCACCAAAGGGCCATGAGGAGTCTCTGCCTCCAGCTCGGAATCCCGTGCCCTTTTGATGCCTCGCCGGGAGGCTGAGTCAAGGACTTCAGGGCATGCAGCCACTTCCTTCAGTACTGCCTCCAGAGCACTCTGGCTCACATAGTGCTTTCTGCCGATGGTAGCGAGCGACATAGATTATAAAGATGGCTGCCCGCGAGCAAAATGCCCTGCAGGCACCGGATATTAGAAGTAACAATTCTTACAATAAATATGTTTGTACATACAACATGTGTCAACCTGTCTATAAATCCTTGTCCCCACGAAACCTTCTTCAACACAACAAAAACCTCTGGATGCACGTATGATACAATGTATGCACACGATCTAATACAACTAATTTCTTATAATGGCTGGACTATATCTACCAATATATAATATCACGTATATATAATATATATGTATATATATATATATATGTGTGTGTGTGTAAGTATGTAATATACATACATATATGTATATATATACATATATATATATATATATATATACAGGAGATATTTATACTTGCAATGCAGCATCAGACCAATCTGCAAGCCGATCCGATCACTCAGGTTTACATGCTGCCTGGCAAGACACACACACATGCAGCAGAAGAGGCAACATGATGTGCATAAGTGCATGCCTGCATGATGATCTTTTCCTCCCTCTGTGCTGCAGTCGACGAGTTCCCCACTCATCGAGCCGGTCATTTGAATCGGGCAAGCAGCTATTACTTACAGAAGCAGCTGGGCCTGCAGCCTGGTGCGAATCTGCATTTGCTGCAACCATTCGGGCGAAGGCTCACCCTTTTCTTCATGGAAAGATTGGCATAGTATTCTCTGCTACCGGCCGGGGCGGCTTTGGCCTTTGCACTGGCCTTTGCACTGGCCTTTGCACTGGCCTTTGCAACGGCCTTTGCACTGGCCTTGGCACTGGCCTTACTGGCCTTACTGGCTGCTTTGCTTTGGCATGGGCTTTGCCCTTTGCCTTTGCCTTGGGCAAGCCTGCAGGCTTCTTAAGAATCCCCTTCTTCTTGTTGACTGCATCTGCAACGAGCCCAGCCTGCCTCAACACTTCTGCCTCGTCGGCCTCGTCGTTTTCAGGATCACTCATCTCCAACTGCACTGCCGGCGAGACACCAGCTGATGCATTCGTTGCCGCCACAAGTGCTGTTTGCTGGACCGATGCAGATGCCCCTGCGGGTGCCTGCTGGGTTGCTGCTGCAGGTGCCTGGGTTCCTGCTGCAGGCCCCTGGCCCATGGTGGTTGCCCCCGCTTGACCTCCACCGGGTGCGAAGTACTGCATGTTCGGGATCGGGTCCTGCTGCTGCCTATTCTGGTCCTGCATGAGCCTCTGCATCATGTTGTTCATGGTGTTCATCATACCCATCATCGTCATCCCGGGCTGCATTCCTTGCAGGCCCATGTTGAATTGCATGTTCATGGGGTTGTTGTTGCCACTTGCACACACTGCAGGCCAGCTCTGCATGCCACCGGCACCCATCATGTTTCCACCACGAAGCTTCTTCGAGCTCCCTCTCAACACGACTGCAGATGATGCTGCCTGCACCCTGTCGGGAGATTGCATCTGCACAGTGCATGCAGGATCCTCTTGAGAGTATGCATCGGCGAGCTCAGGGGGCAGATTGTCTGGCGATGCTGGATAATGCTCGAGGTGAAAGCCATTCTTGGGCAAGCCTTTGGCTTTGCTTTTCAGCATTTTCTTGAACAACTGCTTGTTGGCATAGCTGTCAACCGCCCCCACATCACCGCCTGCCCTGGCCAAGCCAGCTGCCAAGATCGCTTTGCAGCAAGCCTCAGATGGGCAGGTGAGCCTCAGCTTGATGCACCGGCATGCCAAGACATCCAACTTCACGTGGATGTTGTCACCAGCTTCCAAAGCCTGGATATCTTTGACGGACAAGTAAGGTTCGAAAGCATCAACTTTCTGAGTAGCTCTCTTGCCACCCTGACCTGTCCCGGTGTTGGTTCTAGCTACTGCTCCAGCCAAGAGATCACTGAACTCCTTTGTTTGTGGAGAAGTCCATTGCTTTCCTGCAGTCCATGCAGCCAGCAGGGCTGAGGCTCCATTTGCATCCACGGAGGCAAGGTTCTTCACTCGCTGGCAAAGGGCTTTTGCTTGCACCTCTCTAACACTGTCGTAGTTCGGGAGTGCAGTCATGGACTGGAGAAAATTGGCTGTAGCAGCCAAATCCCCCTTCAACTGATCCATGGCTGTGGCAGCAGACATGTCGATCTGTTTGCGAGCTTGAAGCCCTGCAACCGATCTTTGCAATCAATCCTTTTGAGCCTTGCTTGGACATATCGGCGGGCCAGGTTCGCGAAATGTTGGATTCTTCCTCTCTCTCTCTCTCTCTCTCTCTCTCTCTCTCTCTCTCTCTCTCTCTCTTTCTGTCTCTGGCTTTTGCTTCTCCTTCTCCAAAGTATATATATATATATATATATATACATATACATATATATATATATATACATATGTATATACATATATATATATACATATATATATATACATATATACATATATATATATATATATGATAGTTCCGTATACAGACTAGATACACCCGGACATGATTTGAAGTTGTTCGCTCTCATGTCTTATGTGTGGTGTGCCGGCATCCTCACTTCGTTTCCTTTGTCTTTTGCAGCCGAAGCTAAACTCCCTGTTCCTTCCATCGTCCTTTTCTCCAGTCACCATCCCCTCCGGCCCCTTATATAAGCTGCCTCAGCCATGCCCACCTCCTATATATCCATGGCTCTCTGGCTGCTTCCCTCCTCCTCCTGCCTCGATCCCTCCCATGCCTGCTTGGTTTATCTGAATGCATGTCTGTTGTGCATGTCTCTGTACTTCCTGTTTTGGGCACATGTGTCAATACATGACGGTCATGCATGCCTCTGTCTCTTTGTCTGTGTCGTCTCGATCGCAAGACACCAAGAGAACATGAAAACACAAAGCCAAGACACATGACACTCACAGAGAGAGACACAGAAGCAGTCCCACAGTGCACAAGACAGCCACATGCATGCAGGCACAGCGAGACACCGACGTGCACAGCAATGGCGACACACAAAGACAGCAGCAGTATATAGATACACACGAAAGCACAGCAACAGAAGCACAACAAGAACACACATGCACATCATGTAGGACCGCACATGCAGTCCTGGTGACCACTTGTACCGAGAAATATGCCACATCCGGAAACAAGGGCTGACGACGATGTCATTGTTGTGTCTTCGTGTCTTGGTTGGCTGCGTGCCGAATGTCATTGCTTGTTTTGCACACCAGAGAAGCAACAATGAAACAAGCGAGCAACCAAGCAACTCGTAGATATGTGTATATATATATATACACATACATATATCTATCTATCCATCTATCTATCTATATATATATATATCTATCTATATATATATACATATATATTCATCCTATATACATGTATATACAGTATTTAGCATATGTTTATTGTGGCAACCATACAACTCACATCTATAGTGCATACATATATATATATGCATGTGTACATGTATACATATATATATATATGTGTGTGTATATATGTATATATGTATATGTATAATATGTGTGTATACATATATTATAGAGCTTATGTCTACAATGTATATGTATGTATCTGTATAAACTATAACAATGTATGTGTATATACATATATATATATATATATATATATATGTATGTGTATATATATATGTCTGTATCTGTATATGTATGTATGTATATATATATGCATATACATATAGCTCTATAGTGTTAGTATATATATGTATAAGAACATAAAGGATATAATGAAGAGTGATATAGAGTGTAAGAGAATGAGAGAGAGAGGGGGAGGCGACTGCACAGTTGCAGGTTACCTTGCAAGCTAATGTTTATAGTTCTGTGCCCTGTGCTGTTTTCTTTCGTTTGTCTCTTCTGCCCTCACTGCAATGCACAGCATGCAACACAAGGAAATCGCCAGGGCAGGGCAGTGCATGCTCGCCGGCAGACATCCCGAATCTTTTGCAGTCGGACTCGCGACACGGCTACTGCATGCTCGGATACAGGGCTGGACCCGGGGCCAATTTCGGCTAGTCCACAGCAAGAAGAGCCCACCCAGACCAAGACACGGGCTGGCACATGTATATGTGTCTAGTTTAAATGCCAGTGCTTCCATAGCCTCGGCTGCAGCCACAAGCAGGGAACATGTACCGTGCCCATTTATTTAGGTTTTGAGTGTATGTGTGTATGTGCATATGTATACTAAATATATTGAAGCTAGAGCCAGGATGACATGTTCCTGGCAGCAGCCACAAGCCGAGGCCTGAAGGTCCCTAAAGTATCAGGCCACCTACATTGCAGGTCTACATAGAAGCCCACAGCACAGTCTCGGTCCAGGCTCCAGCCCGGCAGAGCTCAGTAGGAAGATCGCGGAAGAAGCCACAGGGCCAGGACCTGCGAGAGCATGCAGGCTTCATCAATGCCCGTGGTGCCCAAGTTTTGGTGTCTGAGAACCAAGCATATAAGGATGCAAAACTTGGAGACGGCATCCATGTCCCAGGCACCTGCAATCTGGAATGAAGCCGGTCTAAGGAAACACGGGAAGGCTCGAGACGAACACAGGCACAAGCGAGGCAGCCGTGATGTTGTTGAGTCATGGATCACCCACTCCAGGGGCCCGGCCCGATAGCCCAACCCGACCATTGTACAGCCAGGCTTGCTGAGTTTGGGGGGCACAAGGGCCCGGAACCTTGAAACCCAGTTTTTTATAGATCGATATTCCCGGTTTGGTCTCGGCGGCCACATTTTTATAGATCGATATCCGGTGGGTTTCCCCGGCCAAGCCAGAATTATAGATCGATATTGGCCGGGCCATTCCCACCACCCCGCCTTTATAGATCGATATTCCCGCGGTGACCCCGGCCACCACACCCATATAGATCGATAAAAGTGCTGGTTGTCCCATTTACACAGTGTTGCTGCATGTCGGCACCAGGGATGTGGTGGGTGGTGGCTCCGGTGGGGCACATGTCATCATTTGCAAAGCCATGAAAGCCTGCCTCAGTGGGGCTTGTGCTGCATCGCGAAGGCGAGCAGATCCCTCTGGAACTGGGTCTGCAGCACGGAAACACTTATGTTCGGAGCCACAACCCACTGCTGATTTCAGAAGCCCGCCTGCTCGCGAACTGCCGAAACACTGTCCGATGCCAGGGCAATGGCAGCAGGAGCGGCTCGGGCCATTTGAACCTGCTGCCCAGCCCGAGTCCGGCTGCGGGTCCTGCAACATGAACAATACGGGTTCGCTGTGCACTAACCTCGACTGGACCCCACCTGCCGGCCCCCGGCGGCCACCAATTGCCCTCCGAGTCCACGAACCCGGAGAGCTGGTGCCCTGCGGCCTTGGCGCCTGTGGCTGCCCACGGTGCCTTCACCTGCAAGCTTCATGGTTGCTTCCCTCTGCTCGCGAGCCAATGGCCCTGCGAGACGAGCTTGGCACCACAAACTCACCGGCCTTGACCATCTGCTGCCCCTTGTATCCGGAGCCCTCGTGCATCCAAGTCGGTGACCAACGGAAAAAAACCTCAAACCAAAGTAGCTGGGGCCCTGTCCTTGCCCCACTGCTGGATCCCGCCAGCATTGGGCACAGCCACCTTTCAGCTGACCGGAACCAGGACAAATCCTAAATCCTAAGCCCAAACACCAAACCCTATTATTTATGTGTATATCTACACACACAGACTGCCTTGTATATGTGACTATATACTACTTCGCCTGCAGGGCTATCAGCTCGCAGGCAGGATTGCATGTTGAATGTTCACTATCGGGAAAGTATATGTGCATATATTAGAATGTCTATCTATTATGTATGTATAATATGTATGTATGCATGTATGCATGTATGTATATGTGTATGTATATGTATGTATGTATGTATGTAAATGTAGATGTAGACACACACACACATATATTTCATATTAGATGTGTGCATGCACATGTGCCCTCGTGAGCCCAAGTGAGCATGGCCTGCCAGTTGGCTTCCCAAGCCATCATCGGCAACCCCTGTCACATCTCAGAAGCACCGAAACAACTCGGCCGCAATAGCAGACCGACCTCCCAAGAGCTGCTCGATGCTCCCGCCTCAGCAGCAGCAGCGAGGAGAAGCAGCAAACAATCCAATTTGCATGCATGCAATGGGGTCCCCACGGGCCACCTTCGGCACTTTCTCGGAGGTGGTCCCTCCGGCTCCTTGACCTCAGCACGGCGAGCATTCGTTGAAGAAGGAAGCCATGCAACTCAAGAACACGGCCAAAGTGGTTCCATCCACGGCCTTGGCATCCGGACAAGGA